CATTAATTGGTGTAAAGGTTATGTCAGCTTTCCCATGTTGTAAAAACCTTAGCTCTCCAGATACCATCCTTACATGGTTGGCTGAAGGTTCATAAATATCAAGCTTAGTTTCTCCTGTTTCAACCAAGACCAGGAAGTGAAAAACAACATTTCCATTGACTCTGAAACACAGGAAAGAGGGAAAAAAAACATATATCTTGAACCTTATCTCAAGAACTACATATAATTTTTGTCCTATGTGTCCTACAGCAAATAGAACTTTTATGTTTCTATGGCTTCACTGTTGGTTGCGGTGAAGAAACTAAGCTTGATATTTATGAACCTTCAGCCAACCATGTAAGGATGGTATCTGGAGAGCTAAGGTTTTTACAACATGGGAAAGCTGACATAACCTTTACACCAATTAATGCTTTCAATTCACTGCCTGCATATTAGACTGTCCACTAAATGGAGTGAGATTTCTCACCATGGACTTTAAGGACATTCCCCCCTCCCCCAATCAAGTTATACTTTGTTTGGTTCATACCACATTTGATTTATTGTGCTACCAAAATTTCAAATTAATTCACAAAGGGGATTTCGCACTACATGGGCTGAAATGCAAAGACCTTGCAATTATTCTGAGTGTCACTTTTGCTTGCTTAATGAAGGTTTGGACTGGGTTGTATATTTAATTAATTCTAACAAACTGTAAGTGAGGTTTTTATCCTTCAACAGAAAGCTAATCCCAACTCTGTCTTCTGGCAATACTTCCTATTGTTCTTCCCTGGTCTGAAATTTAATGTGCTGCTGAATTCTTCTCCAAACTTAGCATTGCAAATATTGTGGACAAATCATTGCTGATTACATTATGTTTGCTTTATTTAAAGGAAGTTTGTTAGAGTTAGAATGCCTCATAAGTCTAGATTAAAATTGCGTTAGCACCACAATTCTAAGGAGTAACCAACTAATCAAGCACACCATTTTGATCTGATTAAGAATATGTTTGCATTAGCATCTCACCAAAAGAATCTTTATAAAACAAACTTTCACGGACAATGTGTTAAATACATCTTAAAGCACGTTTCTGTATGAACAACCTCTGGAAAATTATCCTTTAAAGGTAAAGGTCTCCCTCTCACATATGTGCTAGTCGTTCCCGACTCTAGGGGGTGGTGTTCATCTCCGTTTCAAAGCCAAAGAGCCAGTGCTGTCCAAAGATGTCTCTGTGGTCATGTGGCCAGCATGACAATGCCGAAGGCGCACGGAACCCTGTTACCTTCCCACCAAAGGTGGTTCCTCTTTTTCTATTTGCATTTTTATGTGCTTTAGAACTGCTAGGTTGGTAGAAGCTGGGACAAGTAATGGGAGCTCACTCCGTTACATGGCACTAGGGATTCGAACCGCCAAACTGCCGACCTTTCTGATCGACAAGCTCAGCGTCTTAGCCACTGAGCCACCTTGTTCATCAATTATCCTTTACTTGGTGACAAAAGGCTGTATATTCTGATAAGACTCAACAATATTCCTTAGAGTCCTTGTCCAGGTCCTAGCCTGGTAGGGATTCTAGAACACAGAACATAAAATAATAGAATTGGAAGGGGTCTTCTAGTCCAACCTGTTACTCAAGCAGGAGACACTATACCGTTCAGTGGTGGGTTTCAAAAAATGTTTGAACCTACTCTGTGGGTGTGGCTATTGCTATTGTTTACTGGCAAAGATATTAGTCTTATTAATGTTGAAGAACTTAATTTGTACACATTCCTAAGGTGCTGAAGGCTTCTCCATTGAGACTAAAAAGAATTCGTATTCTCTGAGTTAATAAAAGAGAGTTTTTTATAGGAGTTTACACATTATGCTTAACATTCTGACCTTCCATTGAAGTAAATGTCTGTTGAAAATTAACTGAAACCAAAGCTCTGGATTATGGAATGGAAACTTTCAAAAGATTCCTTAAGATGTCAGAATGCAGGATTTGCTCTCCAGCCACCAACAGTTATGACACTAACTAACACTGGCAGAAGAAAAGTTAACCTTGGCCCTGTCACATTCCAAGTTCATTCCATTAAAAGCAATGCACGTTGTAAGAATTTTTGGTGTTAAAAAAAAAAAAAAACAGGACGTTATGGCGTCAAGGGATTTGAAGCTGCCATTCGGTTTTCTGTCTGTCTCTCTCTTTTTCTCGGCACTTGGAAGAGCACTTAACAGCTTTGTGATGCTGCTGGAATGCTCCTGGGTACATTGGTGCTGGCAGAGGACATTGTGACCTAGAGCCAATTATCCCTGTGGCCAGATACTGAAGGAGGAATATGTGAGCTTTCCTGGCTTTCAAATTGTTTTCGCTTGGACTGCAATGATCATAATGAAGGAAACTTCTTTAGATAGAATGTTAGGGTTTGAAGGGGCCCTGGAGGTCTTCTAGTTCAACCCCCTGCTCAAACAGGAGATCCCATACCATTCTGGACAAATAGATGTCTCGAATTAATATGTGTCCCAGGATAATTTTGCAGGATACCATCTGAGTCAGCAACTGGGACCACAACTTGTCTTCCGAGCTTTTGGACACATTATGGAGCCCATCTTCAGGGAACTTCACTCTAACAGAGTGTGTGCTTTCAGCTTTTCAGATAGTATGGACACCCCGATCAATATCTAAAAATCCACATACAACAGGCACCATACAAAATACCATACACAGAACAGCCCAAAGCACGTTCTGTGCTAGAAAGAAATTCCCTGAAGAACGGCCTCCGGTACGAGTCTGAAAGACTCGGAAGACAAAAACTCTGGTCCGGGGGACCGACCCAGATTAGATCTTGCAAATAGCTGTCCATTCTTTTCTTTAAAAACCTCCAGTGATGGAGCACCCACAGCTTCTGGAGGCAAGCCGTTCCACTGGTTAATTGTTATCGCAGTAGGAAATTTCTCCTTAATTCTAGGTGTGATTTCTCTTTGATTAATCTTCCACTGATTACCTGTCCTGCCTTCAGGTTCTTTGGAGACTACGTTGACCCCTCCTCCTCAAAGAGACTGCTATCATGTCCCCTTCTCTTCATTAGACTAGACATACCTAGTTCCCTCAACTAGTTGTTCATCTTATGGTTTAGCCTCCAGGTCCCTTATCATCTTTGTTGCTCTTCTCTGAACTCTTTCTAGGATCTCCATCTCTTTCTTGAGGTTCGCTATTACCAATAAGCAACTATTACTAATTCGATATGGGCAATATTGGAATATCCCTCCATTAAAGAAAAGTCAGTGTAATAAACTAAGTCCTAATAATCATACTTATTATTGTGTTTTTCAACCCCTGGATCCATAAGTCTTACAAGACAGAAGGGCAGTTCCTTCTCTTCCGCGTATACCTGAGATGCTTTGAGAAACATACTGCTGACCTCACCAAAAATCCATTTCAGTATCTAATGGAAACAAGATCCATTCAAGTGCTTCTTATAAGGCGTTTTTGCGCTGCTGTGAAAATAGGTATACAGAAAACTACTGAGATGTGTATAATGCATCCAGAAGCTTACAGCAAGTCGCTTGGAACTAATCTATTTTTGCATGCATTGGCAAGAAAATGGGGGAGTTATTTCTAAGTCTGGCAATCACTGATCTGGGTTATGTGTATGCGTGTAATGTTACACATATTTTCCTGTTGCTGCACACTTATTCTAATCAGCTGATCAACGAGTCAAAGCTAGGGATTCTCACCCGGAGCTAATCTTTCTGAGAACATACTAAAGCTTAAATTGGAGTGGAACATGGAGGGCAGTTGTGTGTTCCTGGAATAATAACCGTGTTCAGCTTTATAAAGATATTTCCAAATTTCATGCGGAATACAGACAGATCTCTGGGAACAATTGGGTAATCTAACCTGAGCCTTTCTCAGTTCAGCATTCAGATAGTATGGGCCTAGATCTGATGACTATTGGCTATATAGACTGGCTGTCTAAATAAACTCACCACTTCTCCATTAGTTTAGTTTACTTTATTGTCATTGCACATCGTACAACAAAATTAATTGCCATCTTCAGTGTACATTATATCTATAAAGATAATGTTGGATCAGAACTAGGAAAATTCAAGTGTACCCTTGACAAGAGAAACGTCTATGGACATTCTCAGTCATCCAGGTCATAGTTGTCCCAAAAGTGCTTTCTTTAAGAGGCAACTGAGCTATTTTTTCTTTTGAAGACTTTTCACTTCTCATCCAAGAAGCTTCTTCAACTCTGAAGAAACAAGAGAATTTCACAGAATGGCTTTGGGCCAGTCCACTCTCTCCTTTACAAAGTGAAAATTGGAGAAAAGAGGAAAAATCTTATTTAAAAAAGGCAGGGTATAAGTCTAATAAATCAGGCAAATGAATAGTAAATGTTGAGTTTTTCACAAATGAGTAGCTAGCAACATAAAAGGATCTCTTTATTCCAAGCATGAATTGAAAAATGTGTTCTGTGCCCCACATTATTATCCATTCATCTGTTTGTTTGCTTGTTTTAATCTGGAAGAGTCTTTGCTCACAACTAATTTATAGCTGAAGACACATGCTCTATTATTTGTTTTTCCAGTAGATGGGCATAGCGAAGGAATCGTAGGTAAGTGACAAGGCTCTCCAGCCAACCCGTAACACTGTCAGTGGGCAGATACTAATTATTGTTCCTTGCACCAGCCACCTTCCGATGTCTTCTTGCATATTCAGTATCGTTTAAATATTGCAAACCGCTGAATTGCAAATGTTAGCCCAGCCATGAATAAAAAATGTTGCTATTTTATTCTAAAAATAATAATTATAGATACGGTGCCTTTGTTGTATTTTTTTTTTAATCCATTTTACATGAGAGTTATGGGCTGTTGCAAAGTTGCCGCTGTTTGAAGGGAGGGCTAACACAAATGTTTTAATTGCAAATACAAGAGAAGAGGTGTTGCAAGTGATAGTGACAAGATAGTGACTTGTTTTAGACAAGGGCGACCAGCAATGGGTGGCTACCTCCGGCTTCTGTTGTAGAGTGGTGGATGGGTTTAGATGACAGATCCAAAGCTTGCTCTCTTCCATAGCAAAGATTGATCTTCTGCATGAAATCATCGTACTCTCCATCAAACAGGATGTCCAAATCCATAGAACAACCAACATATGGAATTTAAGATACCAGCTGTTGAAAGCAATTTGGTGTCCAGTTCAGACAAAAACATATATTATATCCATTCATTCATTATTATTTTTCCATTCAGTTATGTCCGAATTCAGTGGTGGGATTCAACTTTTTTTTTACTACAGGTTCCGTGTGCGTGGCTTGGTGGGTGTGGTAGGGGAAGGATACTGCAAAATCCCCATTCTCTCCCCACCCCACTAACCTGCTTTCCAGCTCCGTTCTCCTGTGCAGGGCAACAAAAGAAGACCCAGATGGTCAGCTGGGACTCAGGAGGCAGCAAATGGATCAGGGGTGGGGCCAGCCAGTGGTGGTATTTGCCAGTTCTCCAAACTACTCAAAATTTCTGCTATCGGTTTGCAAGAACCAGACAGAATTGGCTGAATACCACCTCTGTGTCTGATGCTTGATGACTTTATAGTGCTCTCCATGCTATCCTGTCAATCACAGCTTCTTTCAATGGTTGGATGTTCATCTTTATATCTTTGATGGTATCAAGCCAGCAAGTTCTTAGCTTGGCCTTCTTCTTGATCCACGAGCCATTCCTGAATTTTCCAATGAATTTGCAAGCAGGGTGTCAATGTTCCAGAAAACCCAACACCAGTGAAAAACTCGGAGACAGGCATTTTCTCAAAGCTCACATTTATTAGAGTAGGTATACAGGCACATCTGGGAAAACCTGAATCGGAGATTTCCGAGCTTTCGCTCAGTAAGTCAAAAGTCCCAACCCATCCCTTGCACCCATCAGTCCATCACTTCGTCCAATCGGAATCCGTCCCAACTCGCGACCTTATTTCAACCACTCCTCCTCCATGTGCAGGAATACCATGACCTTGACTGAAAAGAAGAATGCTATTATGTCTAACTACATTCCCTCTGCTAAATCCCCCCTCCTAATTCCCCAAGCACAAGAATGTGGCAGCGTGGAAGCTTTTGGTATTAATGTAGCTTCCAAAGCTGACACACGGCGTGACCAAAGTAAATCAGATGTAGCCTTGTGATTTTGGCTTCTAGTGATGTCTCTGGCACCTCCCTGTTGGTTGTTCTGATCCATGGCGTACTCAATAATTTATTATTATGTACATTTATTATATATACCATTTATTTAAATGCCCATCTTCAATGAAATGTTGCAAGGCATATCTGAAGCTCAAAAGCTTTGGAAAATTCCCATCCAGCAGCTTCTTCTTTTTTTTTTTTAACCATTATTATTATTACTATCCTTGCAAGCCTTGTGATGGAATTACTATTGACTCCTGTCAGGGCACTAGTAGATAGGAGGTGAAGTGCCTCCTTGCATGCTTCCTTGTGTTTTGTCAGATCCGTTGCTTTCAGCCGAAGTGTGAAGTGAAAGCTGATGTCAGAAAATGCCTTAAGCACATGCTGGTGCCAGTCTCTTGTGACTTCCATATATAGGGGGGTGGGAGACCATATTGCGTTGTAAAATGGCACAAGCACATTTATTGCTGGCCAAGCAGAGCATACATATCATAACAGGGAGAAACAGGAAGGAAGGGAAGAATCCTGCTGTCAGAACTTATTCCTTTAAGGAGAAATGAATCCTTAGAAAAGAAAAGAAAAATATAGTTAGCATGATGGCATCTTGCTTTCTTATAACTCAAAGCCCTTGTTTTATTTTTGTGCTCCCTGATTTAAAACAAAATCAAGGTTTTTATTATTTTAATGGGTAATATTACAGAGGTGGCGTTCAGCAGGTTCTGACCACTTCTGGAGAACCGGTAGCGGAAATTTTGAGTACTTCGGAGAACCGGTAAATACCACCTCTGGCTGGCCCTGTCCCCATCTATTCTCTTCTCCAGGAGTAGGGTGGGAGTGAAGATTTTACAGTATCCTTCCCCTGCCACACCCACCAAGCCATGGCAGGCCCTGGAATGGGGAGGGAATGGAGATTTTACAGTATCCTTCCCCTGCCATGCCCACCAAGCCACGTCCACAGAGCTGAAAGTATTGTTTTTGAATCCCTCTCTCTTTCACCACCTCCTTCTCCTCCTCCTCCTCCTTCTCCTTCTCCTCCTTTTCCTCCTCCTTCTTCTCCTCCTTCCCCCCAGATAATAGTGAAGCAGGGAGATGATCTTGAGTCAAACAGGCAAGAACCATGATGTGAGCAGATAGCATCTCATTCCTTTCCATGAGTGCATTCCTAAACCCAACCTTTCTGTTCAGATTACCCATTAAAAACACAGCTTCCCGATGAAGCCACAGCATTTCCCAGGAAAACATCTTCTGATGGGGAACGGTTCTTTTCTCCCTCAAATTCACATATTCTGCTTTAGTTAATTCATCACATCAGCTACCCCCTCGCTCTGTGTAAATCTTACCAGACTGCCACTTTCTGACAGTCTAATTAAGACTTAATAGAGAGCATATTTCAGTTTAAACAGAAAAGGAATTTCAATGCCGCATGATATAGAAACTACAATAATACAAAGGGCTCTCAAACCTTGTCCTGTCTCCAAGCTCCATTATAGAAATGATTTTTTGCTCCCCCTCTCATCTGTTGTTGGATGTTTTTTTATTATTATTATTATTATTTCCTCTTTCCCGTGGAGTATTTTCGGTTGTCCCATTGCTTTTAAACAAATCAGCAATTCATGTTTTCAATGTTTCGCTAGTCAAAATAATTAAGCAGATCAGGCTTGGGAGTACAGGGAGAAAAATAATGGGGTCATTGAAGCACCTAAGCTCGAAAGGGAACCTAAACTCATTCAGATATCACATCTAATAATTGCTGTGAACCCGTATACACAACCCCACGGAGAAAATTCACACTCAAGTTTCAGTAGAACAATTTTAAGACAGGGCTCCACATTATTTCGGTCTGCCCTCGTATCAAAAAAGAGGTAGGTATGTTTCTCCCATCTGTTTTTCCTAGGGTGGTGTGTATTTGATGTTTGTTCTTAGCTACTCCAACATTAGTAAAACATTGTACCTCTTACCGTAATAATGTGGCTTGCTCTTTAACCTGCATCTACAATGGAAAGCATGGTGGCTCAGTGGTTAAGACAGTGAGCTTGTTGATCAGAAAGATCAGCAGTTAGGGGGTTCAAATCCCTAGTGCCACATAACAGAGTGAGCTCCCGTTATTTGTCCCAGCTTCTGCCAACCTAGCAGTTCAAAAGCATGTAGAAATGCAAGTAGAAAAATAGGGACCACCTTTGNTACAACAAAATTAATTGCCATCTTCAGTGTACATTATATCTATAAAGATAATGTTGGATCAGAACTAGGAAAATTCAAGTGTACCCTTGACAAGAGAAACGTCTATGGACATTCTCAGTCATCCAGGTCATAGTTGTCCCAAAAGTGCTTTCTTTAAGAGGCAACTGAGCTATTTTTTCTTTTGAAGACTTTTCACTTCTCATCCAAGAAGCTTCTTCAACTCTGAAGAAACAAGAGAATTTCACAGAATGGCTTTGGGCCAGTCCACTCTCTCCTTTACAAAGTGAAAATTGGAGAAAAGAGGAAAAATCTTATTTAAAAAAGGCAGGGTATAAGTCTAATAAATCAGGCAAATGAATAGTAAATGTTGAGTTTTTCACAAATGAGTAGCTAGCAACATAAAAGGATCTCTTTATTCCAAGCATGAATTGAAAAATGTGTTCTGTGCCCCACATTATTATCCATTCATCTGTTTGTTTGCTTGTTTTAATCTGGAAGAGTCTTTGCTCACAACTAATTTATAGCTGAAGACACATGCTCTATTATTTGTTTTTCCAGTAGATGGGCATAGCGAAGGAATCGTAGGTAAGTGACAAGGCTCTCCAGCCAACCCGTAACACTGTCAGTGGGCAGATACTAATTATTGTTCCTTGCACCAGCCACCTTCCGATGTCTTCTTGCATATTCAGTATCGTTTAAATATTGCAAACCGCTGAATTGCAAATGTTAGCCCAGCCATGAATAAAAAATGTTGCTATTTTATTCTAAAAATAATAATTATAGATACGGTGCCTTTGTTGTATTTTTTTTTTAATCCATTTTACATGAGAGTTATGGGCTGTTGCAAAGTTGCCGCTGTTTGAAGGGAGGGCTAACACAAATGTTTTAATTGCAAATACAAGAGAAGAGGTGTTGCAAGTGATAGTGACAAGATAGTGACTTGTTTTAGACAAGGGCGACCAGCAATGGGTGGCTACCTCCGGCTTCTGTTGTAGAGTGGTGGATGGGTTTAGATGACAGATCCAAAGCTTGCTCTCTTCCATAGCAAAGATTGATCTTCTGCATGAAATCATCGTACTCTCCATCAAACAGGATGTCCAAATCCATAGAACAACCAACATATGGAATTTAAGATACCAGCTGTTGAAAGCAATTTGGTGTCCAGTTCAGACAAAAACATATATTATATCCATTCATTCATTATTATTTTTCCATTCAGTTATGTCCAAATTCAGTGGTGGGATTCAACTTTTTTTTTACTACAGGTTCCGTGTGCGTGGCTTGGTGGGTGTGGTAGGGGAAGGATACTGCAAAATCCCCATTCTCTCCCCACCCCACTAACCTGCTTTCCAGCTCCGTTCTCCTGTGCAGGGCAACAAAAGAAGACCCAGATGGTCAGCTGGGACTCAGGAGGCAGCAAATGGATCAGGGGTGGGGCCAGCCAGTGGTGGTATTTGCCAGTTCTCCAAACTACTCAAAATTTCTGCTATCGGTTTGCAAGAACCAGACAGAATTGGCTGAATACCACCTCTGTGTCTGATGCTTGATGACTTTATAGTGCTCTCCATGCTATCCTGTCAATCACAGCTTCTTTCAATGGTTGGATGTTCATCTTTATATCTTTGATGGTATCAAGCCAGCAAGTTCTTAGCTTGGCCTTCTTCTTGATCCACGAGCCATTCCTGAATTTTCCAATGAATTTGCAAGCAGGGTGTCAATGTTCCAGAAAACCCAACACCAGTGAAAAACTCGGAGACAGGCATTTTCTCAAAGCTCACATTTATTAGAGT